TGGTGGGAGTAGCAGTGGTGGTCATGGTGGTGGCAGTAGTAAAAGCTGCTGTGTCTTGAGCGTTGCCAAGTGCCATGCATTCAGTTCATCCAACAACTCTGTGATGGTTTTTGCCTACCCCCGTTTCACAGGTGAGGAAAGACAGGTGGACACCATCCAGGAGGGGCTGGCTGAGTGGAGACTCATACCCAGCTCCGGCTGTGCTCTGTGCCACGTGTCTCCTGAGGAGCCTTTCTAGGACGTTACCTGTATGAGTGCTCTGAGTGCTCATCTCACACACATCTTCTGAATGCCTCTTGTATGCCAGGGCTATGGAAGGGGTTGCGGACCCAGAGACACGTGAGAAGGAGCCCCTACCCTCAGGGAGCCCACCTGCTGAGCCTGGCCCACCCACAGGATTCAAGTTTCCTGGGAAAGGCCCCCAGCTTGGAGGGGCGTGGCTGTTTCAGGGCAGTCTGCAGAAGGAGGATGTCCCAGGGGGCTCTTGGAGGCCTTTGAACTAAGTTGGGAGGCAGAGTGGGGGTCTGTTTGCCAGGCAGTCTGGGGTGAGTTCCTGCTGGGCCTGGACAGCGGGTGGAGGGGAGTGAGGGTGGGGGTGAGTGAGGGGCTGAGGCTGAAATTTGGTGCTCATTCTGGAAGCAACAGGATGCCATTATCGCTTCATTCTGCTAGCACCATAATTAAGCACAGGCCTTCTTTCCCTAGATTTGGGTTTTATCCATCTCATATTTCTCCATAGAATCCAGCATCAAGCTATGCAGCGGTAGCACTGAATGAGTGCTGAGTGAATTCATGACGTAGCCACAGTGACATTTCCAACGCAGTCCTGACCCTGCCGACACCTGATCAGAACCCTCCCTCAGCTTCTCAGGGCCCCTAGGGTGGATCCGAGCACCTCCCCCAGCCTGCAGGTCCCATAGCAGCCCGTGTCCTGCCTGGGTTAAAATCCCAGCTCTGCCACTTACTAGCCATGTGACAAGTGGCATCTCTGTGCCCCGTTTCTTCACCTTTATGGAGAGAACAGGAGAATCTTATTTAGGATTCAATAAGTGAACGCATAGAGGACCTCGTTCCTGGCACAGAAGTGTTACTTGCTGTTGGTACTTTCTCCACCACTGTGACCTCACCAAGGGGACCCTCCATGAATAAGCCACCATAAGACAGTGACCGTCACCGCCACTGACACACTCTGCACAGAGTCAGCTGCAGCCCTGTCCGGGTGTGGGCCCCACGGAGGACAACAGATGTAAAGATAATGATTATCACCCCGGTAATCGGAAAAAAACAACAAAACTCTGTGCATTTTAGGAAAAAAAAAATAAGTGATCTCACTTAAAACTGGGCTTGTTTCAGTTTATCTGAAACCTTTTCATATTTTCAGTTTTAATAAGATGTGACGGAAGCTGACATTTTTGCAAGCACCAAGAACTCGCATCACTTTGAAAACTTGCAAGTTGATTTGAAGAAGCACCAAGAGGTAGCCAAGACTCGCTCTGCTCGCAGATGGTGGGTGATTAGGTGCCAGTTTGCCAAAAAGCTTGGAACTGGCAGACGGTGGAGGGCAGCCGGCTGAGCCGCCCGTGGGCAGGCAGGATGGGCTGCCCGGCAGGAGGGCCTTGAGGCCTTGGCCACACCCCACCTGGCCCAGGTGAGGGGCTGCCAGGCCCAGAAGGCTCTCTGAGACTGGGCATGGCTTGACCTCTTCCGGGGCCTTATGTCCAGGGCAGGACTGGCTCCAGGGACTGGGATGTGTTTGGCCTTGGCTCATGCAGGTTCTAAAGCTCAGGCTGGGCCCCGTTTGTGTGACCACCTACCTCTGCGGCCTTGGGTAGGTCATGAACTCTCTGGGTCCAAGTCTCAGCATTGGGAGAAAATGAAAGGAATATTTCTGTGAGGCGGTGAGAACCCCTATCTCTTAGGATTACTGTAAGAAATAAAATCATACTGGAGAACGCTTTGTAAAGTCTAGCTATTTAATTATCCACATTGGGTAACATGGGGGTGCAAGGGTATATGGGGAAAATGAGGAATTTATAACTAATTATTGAATTTTTAAATGTATTTTTACTTATTATTACTATTATTATTGTTAAGAGACAAGGTATTGCTCTGTCATCCAGGCTGGAGTACAGTGACATGATCATAGCTCATTGCAACTTCAAACTCCTAAGCTCGAGCGATACTCTTGCCTCAGCCTCCTGAGTATCTGATCGATAGGTGTGCACCACCAGGCCCAGATAATTTTTTTTAATTTTTTTTTGTAGAGTTGGGGTCTCACTATGTTGCCCAGGCTAGTCTTGAACTTTTGGCCTCAAGAGTTCCTCCTGCCTCAGCCTCCCAAAGTACTGGGATTACAGGCATGAACCACCGCACCTGACCTAGTTATTGAATTTACTAACCATGCCTATATTCAGTTATTCTGGGTGTGAGCTGATCTGAAGCTGCAAAGATGAATAACCCTGAGGAGTTTTGAGACCTTTCTTCAAATATAGCGAGGGGTGGCAGAGGGGCTTGGAGAAGAGCAAATGATTCCTTTGTCCAGGAGCAGAGAATGCAGACAGGCAAGGGGAGAGGACACGTGGCAGAGGGGAGGGCTGAAACAAACCAGGGCCTGAATGGAAATGGGCTCCTGGGCCATTCAGGTGGCTGGAGCCTGAGGGAGGTCAGAGGCTGGACGGGGGACCGCACATGCCGAGTTAGGATATCCCGGGCCATTTGCTCCATTCTAGTTGTTTCAGTGTGGAGAGCAATCAGGTTGTCCTTGCAGGAAATGCCTGGCTCTCTCATGTTCTTCTTAGTGTCCAGGGGCTGAGCTTCTCCTCTGGGCCCTCCCTGAGGGCTAAAGGTGGCTCAGAGATGGTGTCTGTCCTCCTGAGGAGCTTGAGTGGATCAGGACGGAGGCTGGTTCCTCTCCTGAGCAAGTCCTGCCTCCCTGAAGTGGCAATGCCAAGTGCCAGCCCAGTCGGTGCCGGGCAGTGGGAGATGCACGGACAGGCCCCAGGGCTTAGTTTCCTCTCTTGACACTCCAGGACCTTGCTCAGCACATGGTTCCTAATCCCTTAATAAACCTCTCCTTATCCTGCACCCCAGGAAGGCTTCAGGTTCATGGCAATGCAGAAATAATGATTTGCCTGTATTCATTGATCTGATTGAATTAACAGTAAGTTCACCCTTTCTGCAGGTCAGGAACTTGGGTCTGGAATGCAGCCGGTCTCCAGTTGCAGGACAGATGCCTTTCTGAGTGTAGCCAGGAGGTCTGTGTGAGGAGGGGGTTTGTGGTCCCTGTGTGGGTCTTCCTAGGGCACCCCAATCCCTGAAGGGAACCTATATCCTTCCAGGTATGAAGTAATGAAAGACCAGTAAGTCATTCAACTCTAGCTACAAACGCCTGCTCTCCCACCTCTAAGCTGTGTATCCTTGGACAAGTCACCTGGCCTCTCTGTGCTTTCTGAGACTGTGCACTCATGCTGCTATCAAAGGGATGAGAGAACTGAGATTAAATGAGGGGAGGCGGCCGGGCACCGTGGCTCATGCCTGTAATCCCAGCATTTTGGGAGGCCGAGACGGATGGATCACTTGAGGTCAGGAGTTCAAGAGCAGCCTGGCCAACTTGGTGAAACCCTGTCTCTACTAAAAATACAAAAATTAGCTGGTTGTGGTGGTAGGCATCTGTAGTCCCAGCTCCTCGGGAGGCTGAAGCAGGAGAATTGCTTGAACCTGGGGGGTGGAGGTTGCAGTGAGCCGAGATCATGCCACTGCACTGCGGCCTGGGCGACAGAGGGAGACTCTGTCTCAAACAAAACAAAACAAAACAAAACAAAACAAAAAAACAAATGAGGGGAGGTGCTGCCTGAAGTGCAGGGCCTAGAACAGAGGATTACTGAGAAAATGTTTGTTGGCTCTGAATCCTAAGACACTCTTCCACCTGGGAATGAGATCAATAGATCAATGAGAAGAGTGGGTTACCGGCCGATCAGGAGAGCCAGCTGTAGCTGCTGGTTCATCCACACCAAGGTGAAAATGAAAATGCACTCTTGTCCCTTTCCTCTGTTTTTAAAACGTCTCTCCCACAACCCTCCATAACTGTGGTGGAAAGAGTATACGGTGAGGACACAGGGACACTTAGCTAGAAGCATCCCAACCAGCCTCCTGCCCGATAATAACGACAAGAACTAACATTTATTATTGTTATAATAAACAGTAACATTGCTGATGGCTGGGTACCCTGTAAGGTGTCCTCCCAGCAGCACCCCATCCATGCTCACACCAACCCCCTGACCTGTGCCCTGGATTCATCCCTACCTGGCATAGAATGGAACTTTCTAGGAAACAGAGCTTGCCTGGCCACATGAGCTCAGTAAATGGCAGAGTTGAGACACAAACCCAGGCTGCCTGCCCCAAAACCCAAACCTACCAAATTAGATTGTCTTCCAAATGCAGAAATCCTCTCTGTAGCCCAACTTGGCCCAATTCTCTAGCTTTTGGGAAAAATACATTTCCTCTCTTCCCGTAGCCTAATTCGAAAACGAGGCATCTTTCACTTCACATTTCACAGCCGCAATTCTTTCTTGCACATAAAATCTATCCATCCCGCTGGCCCCCTTCCCTCTTCTGGGCACATTACAGGCTGTTGGCGTGTGTGTCTAAATAAACACCCATCAGCCTGGATCCTTGCAGGCTGATTCTAAACATTTGGCTCCAGAGGGTAGCACTGGGGGCTTGCAAACCCCTTCACCTTTCTCCCCAGCACACTTCAAACATTCCCCTTCTTGCATTTAGGAAAACCAGAGCGATCGGTTTCTCTCTCTACTCTTACACAGAACTTTGTGAAAACCTCTGTTAGACTGAAATAACCTTCTATATTTCTGTCTTGCTCATCAAGCTGAGAGTGTTTCTAGGTCAGGGTGGAGGGCCTGACATTTACTGTCTCCTTGGTACTAGGCTCTGTGCCATACATTACACACCTGGATTTATTCTTTTTTTTTTTTTTTTTTTTTTAAACCAGAGGAAGCGGCTTTTGTTGATGGGTTATCTCCAGAAACCAGAAAGACTTTATGTACTCACTTTCAGTTACCCCCATGCCTCCAGGATCGCATGTTGCTCCGCCTGGGGGCGGATGTAAATTACCTCTAGATTGTCCAAAGCCCAGTCCTTCCCCTCCCTGTGCAGCCTTAGAAACTAAGTAGCAATACTGGCTGGTGTTTGTTTGTTTCTACCCCAGCAATGACTGCTGCAGCTACTTAGTACCAACTAGAGGTGGAGAGTGTCCGGGGAAGCAGTTAGGTAAGTGTGATGCACAGGAAAACAGTATCGTAGCCTATCAAAGGGTCCTCTGCCCTGCCTCAGTGGCTTGATTCTTCATTGGTTGCATTTCTCTTTGTGTTGGATGACGCCCTTCTGAATCAGATCAGGGATTTCTACTGCCAGCCATGGACCCAGCCCCAGAGCCATGAGATGAGCTAGTCCAAGTTTGGGCACATTCCTGGCCCACAAAGGTTTGTAATGATCCGTCAGGCATATTTTGCCACCCCTGTACATCTTTGCTGTCTTTCCATCCAGCTCAGGAACTGCAATTTCTGGGGGCAGTAGTAGGATATGTGATAGAAATGTCAAACTTGATGTCAAACTCATATTTCAGGAGGTCATGGATATACCAGCATTTTCCAAACCACCGAGTCCCTTCCTTGTTGGACTCCAGTTGGAACCAATCGTTGTCAGCATTCTTGTTGTTCTCCACATACCGGATAAGGGACTGATATTCCTCCTTCAGTCGCTGCACCCACAACTCCTGATCTCGGGGTCCGGCGTTAGTCTTCACCACCGGGATCTCAGACACAACAGGTCGCGTGGCCTCATCCGCCATCTTCGATTTATTCTTTTTAACAAGACCAAGTGAAGTATTAATGGTCACCCTTTACCAGTGAGGAACAGGAGGCTGAAAGGAGAGGTGCATTTTCTCAGATAATATGGCCGCTTTGAGGCAGAGCTGGGATTTCTGGGGCTCCCTCACTATGCCAGGGAGACCCTGTTCCATTCAGGCTCGTCCCCCTGGAGCCTCCAAAGGGCCTGGCACAGCTTTCCAGCAAATGTTTGTTGACTGACCAACTGACTGACTGAATCAAAGAATGAATGAGCAAGTGTCTAATTTCCAGGATAACTGTGGAGTGGGAACTGTAAAGTGGTCCAGGTACTTTGCTTAGAAGCACAAACTAGGTTGGAAGAGCACTAGCTAATAGAGTTGTGGTCAGACATGGATTACACTTTTCCAAGCATTGGAATACGGTAATATCAATCATGTTTCTACAAATCGCCTTTTATTTCTTCTTTTTTTTTGAGACAGGGTCTCGCTGGCGTGCAGTGGTATGATCTTGGCTCACTGCAACCTCTGCCTCCTAGTTCAAGTGATCCTGCCACTTTAGCCTCTCAAGTAGGTGGAATTACAGGTACACGCCATCATGCCTGGCTCATTTTTGTATTTTTTGTAGAGATGAGGTCTCACTATGTTGCCCAGGGTGGTTTTGAACTCTTGGACTCAAGTGATGCACCCGCTTCAGCCTCCCAAAGTGCTGGGATTACAGGCATGAGCCACCGCGCCTGGCCCACCTTTTGTTTCTTCTCATTCTGCATATGTGGAATTTGCTGCATCTGGTTAGTCAGGCCAACTACAGTTGACCCTTAGACAAAACGGGTTTGAACTGCACAGGTTCACTTCTCTATGGATTTTCTCCCACCTCTGCCACCCCTGAGACAGCAAGACCACCCTTCCTCCTCCTCAGCCTACTCAACTGAAAGAGCAAGGCTGGAAGCCCTCTGTGATGATTCAATTCCACTTAATGAATAATACATAGATTTTCTCTTCCTTGTGATTTTCTTAATAACTTTCTTTTCTCTAGCTTACTTTGTTGTAAGAATACAGTTTATGATACAACAGATGACATATGAAACATATGTTACTCGACTGTTAATATTATCAGTAAAGCTTCCAGTCAAGAGTAGGCTATTAGTAGCTACGTTTTGGGGGAGTCAAAAGTTACACACAGATTGTTGACTGTGTATGGGGGGCGGGGTCAGCACCCCGAACCCACATGGTATTCAAGGGTCAACTGTACTTCATTTAGTCCATTGACTGAGAGGAAGGCTTTGTACATTCTTTAAATTGTTAGAATCATTGTTCAACAAACATACAGGTACAACAGATGCTGTGTGTGTACAGAGAGGAGAGTGGCTAAATGCTTTTTACCATGGTTTAATTTATCAAACCTCATGGCTTGGACTTTTGAGATCACCATTTGATTATCTGGCATGAATTGCTCCTAATTTTCATTAGCTTTTCCCCTTTAATAATGGTCTCCAAGAGGAGTTGCTATAATTTTCTTTCTTTCTTTTTTACATTTTTTGAAGACAGGGTCTCACTCTATCACCCAGGCTGAAGTGCGGTGGCATGATCGTTGCTCACTGCAACTTCAACTTCCCACACTCAAGTGATCATCCTATCTCAGGCTCTCAAGTAGCTGGGACTTCAGGCTTATACCACCACGCATGGCTAATTTAATTTGTTGTTGTTGTTGTTGTTGTTGGTAGAGACAGGTCTCACTATGTTGCTCAGCCTGGTCTCAAACTCCTGGCTTCAAGTGATCCTCCTGCCACAGCCTCCCAAAGTGCTGGGATTACAGGCATGAGCCACCTTGCCCAGCCACTAGAATTTTCTTGATAGAAGAGAGCTTAACGTTATCATCTGGCCCTCCTGTTTTAAATATGAGGGCATCCAGTTCAATGTGACTAGGAAATGGCAAATCTCAGACCAGAGTTCAGGTCTCCTATCACCCAGCCAGTGTTCTCTGCTTAAACGAAAACCCAGCAGATCAGCTTCACCATGCAACTGTGTACACTGCAGTCCTATGTCCCCGAGGTTCCCTTCCTGAAAACAGAGTTGATGTGAATGCATGCACTGATCATTAACCTGAATCTTAAAAATGATGACATGGTTTGTTTCTATAATATCCCTCCTAAGAATTGATCCCAAGAAAATAATCGGAAACATGGATAAAGATTTATGCACCAAGATGTTCATTACTGAATTATTTATAACAGAAAAAGAGGAAAAAAAGAGAATGTAACCTAACAAAGAAACATCTATAGTATGAACTATTAGTCTGCCATTAAAATAAAGTTCCGGAGACTATTTAATGACTTTAGAACTCATTCAGAATAAAATACTAAGTGAGGAATATAGGGCAAAAACACATGTTCATAGAACAATTGCAATTGTAAAAATATGCAATATACGTAGAAAGAAGACTGGAAAGAAATATATCAAAATGTTGGCAGAGGCCATTCGTTCAGTGACCACACTGAAGCATTGTGGATCGATGCTGTATCTCAGACACTGAGCTCTTCACTGGAGTGGGTTCCTGCCTTCCTGGGCCCTACTGTCAGGGGAAAGGATGGGCAAAGTGACATTATTTTAAAAATAATCATTAAGGCTGGGCATGGTGGCTCATACCTGTAATCCCAGCACTTTGGGAGGCCGGGGTGAGTGGATCACCTGAAGTCAGGAGTTCAGCCCGGCCAACATGGTGAAACCCTGCCTCTACTAAAATTACAAAAAATAGCCAGGCGTGGTGGCAGATGCCTGTAATCCCAGCTACTTGGGAGGCTGAGGCTGGAGAACGACTTGAATCCAGGACGCAGAGGTTGCAGTGAGCCAAGATTGCGCCACCGCACTGCAGCCTGGGCAACAGAACAAGACTCTGTCTCTAAAAAATAAAGTAAAATAAAAATAATAAAAATAATCATTCAAATTAACCTGTAATTACAAATTGTGATCATTACTATTACAAAGGCTATTTCCAGAGGGTGAGATTATAGCTGAGTGTAATGTTTTTGGTTTTGGTTTGTATTCTTTTATTTTTTTTTCTTTTTGTGTTCTTCCAATTTTTCTTTACATCTTAAATTTCTGACAGTGGGACTTTATCAGAAAAACAGAGGACTTTTAGAAACACACAAACACAAAAGCCCAAGTACCTGCATGGCTTTCAGTGGCCCCACTGACAATGGAGCTCCCGGAGCCCCTCAGAAGGAGCCTGGCGCGCCTGTGGAGGGGACGAAGCCCTGTCCCTGGAGCTACATGACTGTGCAAGTTTCCTTTGCTGCTGTAAAAATTCCTCAAACTTAGTGACTTAAAAGAACAACATTTATTTTCTTTCAGTTCTAGAGACCAGAACTGTAAGAAATGTTGTTCAAAATTGATGTCAGTGGGCTAACGTCAAGGTGTTGATGGGGTCAGTTCCTTCTGAGGTTCTAGAGGAAAATCTGTTTCCTTTCCCTTTTCAGTTTCTGGTGGTCACCTACAACCCTTGGCTCATGGCCTTTTCCTCAAATGCACCGCCGCTTCCATCATCATGCGGCCTTTGACCCTCTCTCTCTTACAGCCAAGCCTCACTCTTCATTTTAAAAGAACACTTGTGATTATATTTAGGGCCCACCTGGATAATGCAAGCTCATCTCCATCTGAAGATCCTTAACTTAATCACACCTGCAGAGTCCTTTTGCCACATAAGGTAACATACAGAGGTTCCAGGGCTGGGGACCTGGACACCTTTGGGGGCTATGATTCAGCTTTCCGCAGTGGCTTGTCAAAAGTTTGCAGATTTACTGAATGCTAAACCTTATTTGCCAATCTCAGAACAGCTTTGCCTCATATGTGTGTTTTTTTCATTTTGTTTCTCTTGAGAAAAAAGAAAGAGTGGCATGTCTGAAAATTCATTTGTGCCATTAGCACTACTTAAACCTTTGGTAGCTCTCCACGCACCCCACCCGGTGTACTCTGTTAAAGAATTTGCTTGGCAGTTTGTATCAAAAACGGGAGGGATGTCTACGTATGCAAATAAAGAGAGAGAGAGAGTGTAAGGGACAGAGACAGAGAGAGGGCGGGGGAGGATTATTGTAAGCTAATGCTTGCATTTCAAACATTCAGTCCAGTTAAAACGTTGACATCAAGCATTGTGTATGTTCCTGGGGGAGGGCTCTCTGAGTTGTGTATCTCATGGGTGTCATTGAATGTTATTGTTGCCTTGCTAAATATTCATGGATGAATATGTGGAATAAATTCTCTTGTAAACTGACAGAGAGCAAGTAAGGCCTGTCCTTGAGTCTCTCATCTGCATCCTCATTTCTGAAAAACTGTCTATTTGGGCACGAGTGTGTGTGTGTGTGTGTGTGCATGCAAAAGTGTGGGCACTATGTACTTGGTTAATTTAAGCAGAAGAATCCCTTTTTCTTTGCTTTGCTTTTTTCTTTTTTTTTTGAGACGGAGTTTCACTCTTATTGCCCAGGCTGGAGTGCAATGGTGCAATCTTGGCTCACCAAAACCTCCACCTCCCAGGTTCAAATGATTCTCCCGACTCAGCCTCCTAGGTAGCTGAGATTATAGGTGTGCACCACAATGCCCAGCTAATTTTGTATTTTTAGTAGAGACAAGGTTTCACCATGTTGGCAAGGTTGGTCTTGAACTCCTGACCTCAAGTGATCTGCCTGCCCTGGCCTCCTAAAGTGCTGAGATTAGAGGCGTGAGCACCCAGCCAAAACCATCCTCTGTAAGGGTTATAGTTGAGAGGTGGGGCGGGTTCTGAGAGTTCCAAGAATGTACACTCGCACGTGCACACTCACAGAGAAGAGCTTCTTTTGACTCAGAACAAAGTCTCTAGGGGTGGCCATGGGCCAGAGTGCTTCTGGGTGGAGCGAGAGAGAGAGTGGGGGTGGGGACACTGAGGACATTGAGTTACCGAGCTATGAGACATAGAGGATGAGGGAGGAACGGTGATTCCTGGAGACTGCCTAGATGCTGCCTTCCCTAGGACACCT